AAGAAACCAAACAGGAACTTTTTCTAAATAGTATTAATTTACAATATAACATTTTACATAACAATTAAGTATAAGAACATTTAGAAACAGAATGGTAGCATGATTTAAGAGATTGTTTTTTAGGTTTTGAATTCGAAGCATCACTTAAAGTGATACATTTATTTTGAAGCACTCAGCTTAAAATCATCACTCACTCAAATTAATACATACATTTCTTGAACTTCGGAAGTCCCTTACATACCGAGCATTAACAAATACGTCACGTAACCCATACATTTAACTTAAAGGTACACCACACGTGTAGTTGGTTAGGTTGTTTACCTCAATGACTTGACGTCTCGCGGAGAACGGAGATTGATGCGCCGTGCTTGAGATACGCATCAGCGTGGACAAGAAGTGGACAAGTCATTCGTAAATTATTTAAAAATCGTATGCACATTTTAGTAGAGATTTTGAATAAATAATCAGTGAATTTGTTTCTTATTGTCTATAGTAAGAATAGAAATATCTAGTAATAATTGTGGGTAGAACTAAGTTAATTCGACTCTAATGAGGGCATAATACAACAGGACAAGTGAGCAATTTTGGATCCCTGGATTAAGTTAATTTTTAGAAGACTTAAAAAAAGGAATGATTTTTATTATATAGGTACATATCACCGCTCCTGATTCGCACGGGAACGGGTGTATTCTGCAGGTGACCATTCAAGTGAGAAGAAAAACGAACACACGCACACCGGATTTTATATATAAAGATACATAATAGCTCTATCCGTAACTCGCTGAGCGACGTTGAACTTCCTCGCACAACCGGCAGATCCATGTCGTGATTTATACAACATAAAAGCTAAAATTATCATATAGGTCTAGCGCCAAGAACGTTGGATCTGCGTTACCTCACTGAATAGATACTTGTATTACTAAATTTGCTTGTCGAAAAATAAACTCGACCGCTTATTGCTCGATAAAAGAATCGCTTTTAAACATATTATCATCATCAGTAATTTTCGACTGATTAAAATGACTCAAATACGGTTATCAAATTATTATCTTATCCGTTCCAACAGGACGTGGATTTGACTCTCCGTTCGTCACAAGTAAATACCTGCGAGCCAGTTACTCATCTCCGTTATCAATGCGCACCAATTGTCCAAATTTGCCCCGTTTGCCCAATGGGGCAAACAGCGGACTTGGTGCCGGAACGTCTTATCTGATAATTGTACCGTTGGGTTGAGTGTCTTTTGTTTATTTGGCGCAAATGGGTAGACGGTTTTGCTATACTTTGATGTCGTAACATAGTCGTCTAGAGTTATTAGTTTAAGAAGTATATTGTTTTTTATTAGGCAAACTTACTGGCTTATTACAAAAACTAGCTTATAATTAGTCATATGTTTAATCTATAATCTATTTCACGGAAGAGGTTGCACGAAAATATGTAGACTATAATGTAAAGTGTGGAATTGGACGTCTTTCGTGAGAATAACTCTTCGTAAACCATAGTTTAAGCCCGAGGCTCTCAATAAACGACGTTTTGGGATGTTTTGATTTATTTTTAAAATTATTATTAAACATTTTGATTGATAATAACACCTAGGAATGAAGTTATCATTAAAATAATATAATATAAATTGATTGTATTTATAAAAAAAGTCCCGCTGGGTTTTTTGCCGATTCCTCCCAGGACAAAGACTTTTTTCCGAACAAGTTGTAAAAGTAGAAAATGACTTTCAATAAGAATTACATGTAAATCTATATTTATTAAAAATTAGAATATCCTTTTTCTTTTCATCAGTACGTAAAAGATACAAATCCCTACAAAGAGATATGACCCCCTCCTCCCTTTGTAGGGAGAATTTTCTATAAGCTTCGCAGGTGGACTTACGACCGCAGTACCAGACGTCTTGTATCTTCGACGCTGGTCCCCGTCACTAATCTGGGTATTTTATGTTCGACGTAAATGAGTGTGATACCACCATCTGTTGAAAGCCACGAGGACTTTCTGGCTTCTTTCATAGTCTCCTCTTACAAAACTTATGGGACTAAATGCGGTGATGGATTCTGTTACGCCGCCGTCACATGGCAAATAGTACTTTTACGGAACTCTTACTCTGCACTAAATAGTTAAACGCACCTACAAAAACAATTCCTCTATTACGTCACCAAGCAAAAAGAAAACATTTGTCTAGACATCGTTAAGATAAAAAGACAAATAGGACAATTATCAAAGCCTCGTGTTTCAATGAAGCCTTAAGATGACTTGTGGACACAAGTGCGGGCAGACAAAAGGATGTGGGCTCCTTTACTCTCGAGAGATACGTCTTTCGGCTGAGCAAACTGAATTCCAACCGATTAAACGACGGTAATGAAACATTCATGGCGTATTGTTAGGGTATGACGATGTACCGGTTTTTAAAAATGGAACAGAAATGATATTCAGTTATATTTTTTTTTATTTCAATTTGATTCGATTTTTGAATACTATACAAAAACGGCATATGTTAAATATTAGATACCAGGATATCCATAGTACCTATACCCAATATCGGAAACCAATCTTTTGTTTGCACTAATATTGTGTTTTTTTTTTATAAGATAAGGGTGACAAACGAGCACAGAGTCCACCTGATCTATCCTCAATAAAAAATATAAATGCAAATGCGTTGTCACCCATGAGGACTAAGATAGAATGACTCTTTTCCAGTAAATAGGGTCTCCGGTTCTCTACACTCACCATACGAAACGCAGCAGTGTTAAGCTGCTATTTTACGCTGGTATTCTGAGAGAGCGTGGTCATTCGTGCTACAACTATACTTCTAATATCTGTAGAGCCATGGGCTCTACCAACTATAAAAATGTGTCGAAATGTGTTTTGAATACAGGCCCTATAAATTAGTAAGTAGGTGATCTAATCGCGAAGTTAGAACAACCAAGCACTGTCAACATTATGTGATAATACAATTTACGAGTAAAAACATCTGCCTCTCACATGTTTTATATTTTAAGGTCTAAAACATCCTTAGCTATTTAAAAGCTATTTACGATTTTTTACTTTGGAATTTAACGATAAAAATAAACATTTTTATGCGAATAATTTATGCAAAGCAATTAACGACAATGGTTATTTTTCTTGAATGCCAATTTGCACTTGTGCAAGTTAATGTTGAATACGCTTTAGTTATATTTGCATACAGCGGATGCCTTATTGATAAAAAGAGATATCGCTATCGTTTAGTTATGGTTCTGCTTCCATATTCACTCGTTTTCTATGCAAGTTAGAATATAATAGAAGCGACTATACTCTCCGAGAACTGAAAAGTCGTCAGTTCGAATGTGCCATTAGACTAGTATTAATATGTATTTAATATAATTTTCCGAGTGTTTTATTAAAGTGGCTTTAATTTTTACAAGTCTTAATTTTCGTAATCTCTTTACAATATACCACAAAACATAGTTTTAGAGCCGCGGTGTAGCACAAAATTAACCAATATATCAGGAACCAATAACCTATAAGAGTTGTTCATGAAGACTAAGTTTCTATATCGTTCCTATAAACTAAACACATTTTATTTAAATAGTTTCAATGGTTTATTCATAAATTTGTTTAATCAAATACCTTAGTTAATTAAAGAAAACTTAGAACAAGACACAAACAAGACTTCAATTTTATAGGTACTAATCTACATTTAATATAAAATATCAAATGATATACGATTGCTAGTGTCACATATCCATCCGAGATACCCGTGCGGTCATTTGCAGGCCAGTTATGACCCTATAAAAATTCTAAGCTACCGAGGGTAGATACAAATTGTCGGTGTCGAGTGCGGCTCGTGCGCATGTCAGCTGTCAGACTTCAGGTTACAGCGTTATTGAGCGCACGTGTCAGGTTGGCCCCGAGATGAAACTGGATTTTATTTCAGATGGTTCATTCACGTATCAACGCTTTTATTCATTTTTTATGGTTAGATTCCTTGTTAGGTAACGAAAACAAATTTACGTAACATATTATTAAAAATATGTCATTATTTTTATAATTTTTACTTTAGTATGATATGATCTTTATGAATAATTATAAACAGCCATTGTAAGTCCACTGCTGGACATAAAATACCCTTTCCAAGGATGCGTCAGTTTACATACATTAGTTGGAAGATTTTCGAATGCTTACCACGCTGCGCAGGCGAGGTGGTGAGGATGATATAATCATGAATGTTAAACATAACTACCACATTGAAAATTAAACTTTTTCAAATCTAATAATGGACTGTCGCCATATTGCTCATAAACTAAGTAAACCCACAGTTAGGATTCCTCCATGCTGCTAGTGTGTTGTCAAATTTCACATGACCTCTAAATGTCGACTTTCAAGTTTCTTTCCTTCATTGCCGATTAGGTAGTATATCAACACTTCAGGCAGGCGGTCTAAGCTGCCACGGTTCTCGTATACATGATATGAAACAGTAGTTCAGAATATTCCTAATTATATTTCTTAGTAATATTATATGGTACAAGCATTACGGCAGATATGAGAAAAAAGGTCAAGTGGTGATACTTAATTACTAGTATGATGTTAAATCTCTAAAACTTACAACTAGCACAATAAATGACTTATTTCCATTCTAATGCATAAAGGAATTACTCGCAGTGTTGCTGCCAATCGCTGAGCCATTAGCACTATCGAGTTGACGGAGTTGAATTGTTTTTCTACCGACTTCAAACGGGAAGAGGTACTCAATTCGACTGTATGTTTTTTTGTGTGTTACCTCATAACTTTTTTCGGGGTAAACCGATTTCGACGATTTTTTTTATTTGAGTTTGCTGGTGCTTCACATGTAGTCCTTATATAAATTCGATCAAGGTCGGACCCATAGTTTTTGAGTTATTCTTAATAATTTATATAGAAGTGGGTTGTACAACATTTTTAAATTTTAATTATTTTTTTGCAGTGTTTAATCAACTGCAGGTTGAAGAAAAGAGGCATATTCAGTTAAATATACTTACGCTGGGAAGCTGGCGGCTCGGCCGCGGGAGGCGCGGGGGCGGTGGCAGCTCCCTGCATTGCCCGCGGCGTACGACCGCGTTTGCGCCTGCGCAAAATTAGTCATTGTGAAATAAACGCAGTCTTAGGATCTGACTGCAACAAGTCGAATTTCTAAGACCTGAATTTTGGGCTGCAGTTTATGTCCGTCTCTTTGCCTATCCATAGCTCTACCACAAGACTCCGGATTTTGAGAAAACTATACGAGGGTGGATTGAAAAGTACTCGGCCTAACCAAGAAAATAAACACATACTAAATCAGTTATATTTTTATTTTTCTACATAATCACCATCAAGTTCAATACACTTTTGCCACCTCCCCTTCCAAGCATTTAGACCTTTGAAAAAAAATGATTCTTCCTTAGAGTCAAAATATGCGTCTACAGCTGCTTTGACCTCGTCGTTTGTCGAAAATCTTTGACCTCCCAAGTGCTTTTTTAGGTTAGGGAACAGAAAGAAGTCTGATGGTGCCAGATCAGGTGAATACGGCGGATGCGGTAACAGTTCAAAGCCACAGTTGTGAATTTCAGCCATTGACTGTACTGACGTGTGAACACGGGCGTTATCTTGATGAAACAGGACTTTTCTTCTGAGCATTCCTCGACGTTTTTCTTTTATTTCCTCTCGTAAACGACGTAGTAAGGTGCAGTAGTAATCAGAGTTTATATTCTGACCCCTTTCAAGATAATCAATCATAATCACACCTTTCGAGTCCCAGAATACTGAAGCCATCACCTTATTTGCCGACAAAATCGACTTAGCCTTTTTAGGGGGTGGTGAACCAGGTCTACTCCACTGTTTTGATTGTTGTTTTGTTTCCGGTGTACAGTAATGAACCCATGTTTCGTCCATAGTAACAAAACGATTCAAAAAATCATCTGCATCGGCTTCAAATAACTCCAAACAGTCGCGTGAAATAGTCAATCGCGTCCTTTTTTGTTCAACTGAAAGCAGTCGCGGAACCCACCTCGCAGACACCTTGTGGAAACCCAACTCGTTGACAATGATGTTTTGAGTTCGTTCATAAGAGATGCCTATAATCTCGGCTATCTCTCTAACTTTTAATCTGCGGTCTCCCATTATTAAATCAAGTACTTTTTTAATATTTTCGTCAGTAGTTGACGTCGAAGGCCTTCCAGAGCGGGGTTCATCTTTCACACTCTCTCTACCACGCTTAAATTCTGCTATCCATTTTTTGACGGATGAATATGACAGAGCACAATCGCCTAATGTACTGACCATGTCATCATGGATGGCTTTTGATGATAGCCCCTTCTTATGGAGGTACTTAATGACGGCACGCTGCTCGATCTGCTCCATTCGCGGAAATTATGTCCGATTACTTTGTTAATAAATTTATAAAATCACAACTAATTATCGCACACGTTTCGAACTTCACACAATGAACTAGTCTGAACTGAACTAAATAATGTGGGTAGATTTGATTTTTAGAATTGAATGGATCTGTGTTAGGCCGAGTACTTTTCAATCCACCCTCGTATCATCTCGTGGGTGTCGTAAGAGGAACAGATAGAAACAAACCAGAAGATGGGCAGCTGCTACTTCCTGATAACAATCTATATACAAATAAATAAAGTTGAAGTGTGCGTTTGTAATGTCAAAATTACAGTTTTTTACTAAATGCATATGAAAGTAAACACGGTACTTATAACTAAAATACATTTTTTATAATTTTTGTCTGTCTGTCTGTCAGTTTGTTCCCGATAATCTCCGAAACGGCTGGACCGATTTTGACGGGACATTCACTGGCAGATAGCTGATTTCATAAGGTGTAACTAAGGCTACTTTTATTTTAGAAAAATAATTAGGGTTCCGCGCAAAAACATAACTACCCCAAAACGCGAGCGAAGTCGCGGGGAACAGCTAGTTAAAAATATAATACTGCGGTTGCCAATGCCGTCTTACCAAGCGTGGTCACTATGGCAAATATCCCTCCTAAGAGGCAACCTACTGGAGAGGCTTGCGTCCAGAAGTGGTCTTTCGATATAATATATCGATATATCTCAATAGTTTACTCATAATTGCATGGGTAATGAGTATACTATGACGTCAGCAAAAATTAAGTATGGCGGACATGAACTGTCAAAATTTGTAAAAAAAAATAATTATAAGCGATATGTAAGTATTCATATGTATTACCACCATGTATTACCAAGTACATTCCAAATAAATACCATTTGCACTTGTAAAGTATCATTAGATCACTTCAGTCGGGTTATTTTTTTTTTAATATCTATTTCCTTATTTTAGTTGTTACTTTGATGCCACTTTGGTTGACATTTAATAAACAGCAATCGTGTCGTCTTGAATCATTTTTAAAATAGGATATTATTACATAATTTACATAAAACAACTTCGAAACAAAAAGAGCTGATGATTCTCAAACGGCTGGAAAAAATTTCTTGAATGATAGCTAAGAACACTTCGATCAAGTCACCCTTCAAAAAAAAAACTACTTCTAGACATTGAGTTATATGTACTACGTACTAGAGAAGCCATTCCAAACAAAAATTGTGTCCTACTCTATGTCTTCGCGCATGCGCGAGAGTGGTAGTCGCGCATGCGCGAAGACTTTAATTTGATATAAAATAAATATAAGAATTTAATATAAAATATCTTAATTTAATCTAAACAAACATATTATATTTCCAAATAAAATGTAATAATAATTATTTTATGGAATTCACAAATCTTCAATTTACGCAATATTTAGTTTGTATGGATTGCACTACAGTTCAGTTGAACATAGTCCATGTTCGGAATGGCTTCTCTAGTACGTAGTACATATAACTCAATGCTTCTAAATCGGTTCATCTGTTTGGGAGCTACGATGTGACAGGCATACATATAGATACATACATGAAACATATACCACCCCTTCTGTTTGCGTTGGGGATTAAAAATAAGGTAAAATATTTCCCCAGTTAGCGTATAAAATGCTTCTTAGTCCGGTAATTTAGAATTAAATAAGAATTGCACACAATTAATGCTATATCACTTCCTTCAAAACAAGTCACCTTATTAATATTCTCAATTGTGAGGACTGATTAATATTCAGCGTTTTAATTTTTTATTTATTTTGAAGATACATTTTTAATTCGCCAACGACGCATTGGTGAAACAAATCATCGTTTAATTTTAGATCAGACGATTATGCCATACCTACTATATAATACTCGTTACACATTAAACGACTTCTAAAATTATTTTTTGTAATATATTAAAAATAAACAACATAATTCGTCATACGATAGTTTCTTAAAAAATTACATCACTCGATCTCGTTCCGTGGGAGATATAAGAATCTAATGTGGATTTTTTTTGGAATATCTTACGACTTATCTAAATTATATATGGCGGTATAATCATCTTGAATATGACAAGACGCATCTCGTATATTACTACTGAACATAGTTACGTCTAAGGTGTGAAGATGTTTAGTACTGTGATCGTTAATACACTTGTCAAGTGTGGGGATTGGCTTTGGCCGTTAACCCGCTCTTTCTTCTGGACAGCAGACACCCCATCTTAGGCCTCTGGGTGTCCTAAGAGAAGCCTATGAAATTCCAGAAAGATAATTATAATACTTTAAACATCCTGTTTACGCCAGACATAGAATACCAAAGCCGGTAATTGTGATCAATTCAAATGCTAAACTAAAAAAATTTATCACCTTAAAGCGAAAATATAAAAAAAAATACTAAGTACATTTTAGCTTGAAAACAATTATGAAACAGTGAATAAGCCTTTTTTTATAGAATAAGAGTGACAAACGAGCGGACTGTGTGCTGATGGTAAATGGTTGGTTGCTGTGACCCATAGACATCTACATCCATTCTCGATTAAGAGTCAAAATGCAGATGCGTTGTCACCCGTGAGGACTAAGATGAAATGCCTCGTCGCCATATGAAATACAGCAACATTAAGCTGTTATTTTACGCTGGTATTCCGTCAGAGCATGGTCCTACCCCGGTCGAGCCGACCCATTCGTGTACAACCATAATATAGCTACAGCATGGCTCTACCACGTTTAAAATCAATAAAAAAAATATATTCTACGACTCGGCGTTACAGACATGATATTTTAATAAAATTTGTTTTAATAACTTTATCTAACAAAAACCGCAACCGATAGAGTCACAACACCTAAGTGACACAATTTCACCTGTCCACATAGTGCGTAACAAAGGAATAGGTGAGTCACAGCCCTCCAGTTTATTCTTCTATAACTTCCTACACTGCACCAGTCGTTGATCGGTGAGAAATGAGGGTACATAATATCTGTTGCATCGATTCATAGGGTCGCAATACCTGACCTTTGCCGAAGATATTGTCATTTATGTTTTTACGATAGACTTAAAGGATCTTACACGACGTAGAAATTTAAAGGTTGTTAGTATTGATTATCATCAACAGGGTAATACGGGCTTATGAACCATCAGAAGAGGATACACAAGATCCGGAAAAATCAAAATTAAGGGGAAAAAAAAAGGGAGGAAAGCAGACTTTAAGTGTGATTGTGCGCGTTGGTGTGAATAGTGTTTGGTTTCATTGTATTATGTAAATGTATCAGTATCAATTATAAGCCGATGGCTTTTTTATTGATTACCACCGGCAAAAGATTCCCACCAGATTTCACTATCGCACTGCCGGTCACTAGCCTTGTAAACTGTCGATTTTACGTATCCATTATATTATTAATCCAAATATCGATCCATAAACAACGAATTGACGATGTTGTATAGGTACATAAAATAATAATTGTTATATTTTAATGTATCAAAACAATACATTACACATTCAATAAAAATTGACCATTAAAAAGTTTATATTATAATAATAGTACAGAACTATTATTTAATATTATGTAGGTACGCAGCTACTCAAGTGACCTAATACCTAGGTGCAGACAATGCGTGCTAATAACCTGCGCCCGGTATGCACCATAAATAATTATACTTGGTGCGTTATAAAAACTATATTATACTACAAATAACTAT